CCGACCAAACAAGCTAAGAAGATAGTAACAGCTGCACAACCTGCAATTCTTGTAGGAGCGAGCACCTGACTGACATGGCGACCAGGTCACTGGAAACCCGTTAACTCGGAGAATCCTTACAACACGTTTTTAAATCGCCTTAAGGCATCGGTTGTTTATCCGAAATTCAAATTACATAAACAGAATTCCAACACAGTTCCTGCACGCCTAACTTATTTCACGCTTATAAAATACTTCAGAATAAAAATAAAAATAATAATAATAAATCTATTTTTTCGTATTTCTAAGTTGTATTTAAAATATTTAAGTCACACGTAAATTTTTCTCTACATTTCTTTATATAATTCGAAGGAAAATCTTAATGATTTCAGAGATAAAAACGAGAGAGATGAAACGATAAAATAAAAACAAGGAAAATTAAAGAAGTGATAATAATCTGGACTATTATTTAACAGAAAAATAAATTATTATTTACGTATTTATATATCTTATTTATACGTGTTTACAATTACAAAAATTCGCCTGTAAGAGATAATCTTCGGATAATCTACTCGAAGCATCCTCTGCTCCTCCAAGGATCATTATCACAGTTTATCACGTGTATATACTAACGTATGATGTAGTATACTTATATCAAATGCTAATATGTACTAACGACACGAAAATCTTTTAATTTAAAAAAATATATATATATTTTAGTGAAGTCAGTGATGAGTATCTGAACCATTGAAGCGTGTTTAACGCGTGTTCCTTCGATAGTTTTATCGTCGAGACACGCGTTAACACGCATCAAGGGAAAACTTTACGAGAATATAACGATACACTAAACTTTATAGGAAATTTTTACAATTCAAAGAATTATTTATAAACAAAATTTATTAATATTTTACAACGAGAAGTACGATACTTGTTATTAATTAGATCGATAGGAGTATGTTTTTGACGTAACGTAAACAATACCTTAGTCTATTTATGTTGACCCTGACCTATATTAAGGCCACGAGATGAAAACAAACAAAAAAAAACATAATAATAATTCTCTACTTCAGTAAAAGATAATTTACTTCTCGAAGTTAAGTGAATGATATTGATATTATGTTTTAATCATCATTAAAGTACGCGGGGTCATTAAAGTGATGAATTGTATTAACACGTTTTTTCCCCCCTAGTAATAATAATAAAAATAAATATTTTTTTCGGCTTCAAATCTTAGAATTATAATTTTAAATATTAAAAATAAATAAATAAAATAAAATAAAATAGCGTAAAAATCGATTGGAAGTTTTATAAAATTTTTGACAAAACCTCATTAATTAATGCCACGGTAATTAGAAACAATTTAAAGAATTTTTCGTAAAAGATTATAAAAATTCTATTATTAGTAATTTAATTTATTATTTTTAAGTAATTAACGGAACATTTTCATTTTTGTTCGTTATGAATTCAATTTTAAAAATTTCAAAACGAAATTTTAATTATAACATTTTTATTCTGAATAATTTTAAAAAGAATTACTATAAAAAGATTATTTTTTTTCGTTTTTGTAACTATTTAACAGCGCAGAAAACCATTTCGACTACTTGTAATTTCACTTAGTCCACTTCTAATGGTCGTTAAAGAAATTTTAGAACCGTGTCTTTCACTATTATTTGACTTTTTTCGATTGAATTTTTTTCCTCCATATTACATTTTTATATGAAAATTGTTCGCATGATTACTTTTGTACTACTTTTGTCAGAATGAGCTTCTATAATGATTAAACGAATCGAAAATAGGAAAGATTTTCACGATAACAAATGGCATCAATTTTTCATAATTTATGCATTATCAAGATAATTTTACCTTGATCTAATTTTAATTCCCTTAATTCTGGTTAATGCTCTTTTTTTTCCTGCTTCGTCTAACTTTGTTCTACTGAAAATTTACATTTAAAATACATTAAAAATATTGTGTACTGTTTGTTTTTTTTTTCTGTTTTGTTTTGCTCTTCTACTCCCCTCTTCCCTCCTCTTCCTCTGTCCTGTTGTTTGAAAGTTTAACAATATAAAATTTATTATCTTTTAAATTAAATTTTTCAAGGTATAAAATAAAAGATTAAACAAGATTAGTTATTTTCACAATAAGGAAAGGATTAATTAGTTGTCGAATGAGGTTAAAATCCCTCACAGTGCAAACAGAGCTAGAAAGAGGAAATACCATTCAATTAATAAGGCATTAATGCTTATTCGAGTGATTATAATGCTCTTTTTTTTTAGGAGTTCGTGTTGTGTTACAATTACACAATAAAATTCGTATTGTAGTATTCCGAATCGACTAATCCTGAATTATAATTTGTATATTACAAGTTTTCTCACGAAAAAGAAATATAAATTGTACGAATGAATAACTGCAAGAGAAGTAAACAATATTCCTAGAGCCAAGAGACCATTCGAAATATGATTTTCTGTAAAAGAGAATGTGTATTGTTCGCCCGCGGCCCATTCGCCTTCACTTACATTACTGTTTCTTAGAGATTTCACTAAGTTATATAGACTTTCACCGTTACTCTCTTTTCCCATTTCCAGCCATTTTAAGAGTTCCACCGTTAGATATATACATAATGCGCTTACCAATATATATATATATATATTTTCTTTTTTAAAGAAAAAGTAGAAAGAAATTCTGCTTTATAATGTTATTTCACATCTGAAAACTCCAATAATAATCGGCCATTTGAAAATATTAGCATAAAATTCCTATATATCGAGGGTATTCGTTTGATACAATTATCACAGATACTACTGTTTTAAAACTGAATATTTTATAATTTATAAAAGGATAAGTCTTTACATTTCCTTTATTTATATTATAAAATCACTAATTTAAATTTTAAACACGCGTGAGTACGAATACAATTGATTTATACGAGATTATTTGCTTTGTTTATGCGACTTCACATTGTAATAATTTAGTGAAAAATGCTTGTATCTCTATAGGGTAAGTGATCCTAATCCAGAATTTCAATCTGGATTTTATATTTGATTGCCTCTATTTGTCATTTAAATTGATATTCGTTATTCTTTAGCTTGATTTAAAGCAGAACAAACACGAAAGGAATACCTCTATTGAAATGCAAATATGCAAAGTCAGTTATGATTTATAGAGAGAGTGTAACTCTTATGATAAATATTGTACAAAGTTTATTTTTATTTATGAGTGGATAAAGTAAATATTTTATTGTCGAGTGATAAACGCATCAGATTATATCGAAAAAAAGGGAAAAAAATAATNACGACCACTGGCAAGAATATAAGAAATTGTCCTTGTTTAGAGGTTATTAAAGCATTTGAAAAAAAGCAATTCATGAAAAAATGGCCGTCGTTTAGAGGTTGGCCGTTATTGCAGTTTCGATTATATCTAATCGTATTATTTATAGAATTAAAATAATAAAACATAATTAATTATTAATTGCTTTATTATAAATTAATCTTCTACACTTTTGTATCGCTGGTAGATTAGGTGGGCAGAAAAATTGATAAAACAGGGAAAACAATATATTATAAAAGGATCCCACACACAATTTCCTGAGTAATTCTTTTGATGGATCTTCTCTTTGTAAGAGAAAATTTTCATTTTACTTAAACTTATTAGAAAGGGAGATAATAATTTCACTCCCTTTATAAACTAAACAAGAGTAAATTCCTTTATTATCATATTAGAATTCGTTTTCATTACATCGTTTAAATCGATTTAAATACTTGGCAAATTCGGGTTAATTAATATATTTAATTGCCTATTAATATATTTAATTGCTATCGGCAATTTTAAGGTAAAAACACGTGCTTTTTTACAATTAATTTACTTTACCATTCGACATTATTTTAAATGTATATATACATTAAAATAGTAAAGGTGGTTTAATGAATTATGTAAATGTTATCATTTATGTAATGATAAAGTATATTTACATTATCTTAAAGAGAATATTAACTTATATTGGGCGTTACATTATAGCGTTAATGTTTAGTATATTAATGTGAAATGGTAAGAGTTCGGTAGTTGGTAGTAATTAAAACAATTACGTTGGGATTTAATTAAGGAGAACATTATTGTTGATAGCGATTTACGTCTCTAAAAGCTTACTTTAAAAGATCTGTATTATATTTAAAAAAAAGAGAGAGAGAGGAGCGTTATAATATCCATAGTTAACACGTTTCTAGAATTATATTTATGAAATTTTAAGCGTTAATAAGATTTTATACGAAACTATAAGGCGATCTTACTTACCTATGTTTAATTCATGCGGTTCTTTGCGGAAGTTGACCTGTTGGGCTGCCCAAACTGCTGCCATGGCCTGCAAGACGGCACCTTGCCTAAGGCGACCACAATTGGTCCCATTGCGGGTCGGATTATGGATGGAGGTGAGTAAACCGACGTTGACTTGTCCCGGGTAGATGATGGGACTGGGATCGCGTGGTAGCTCCTGTCCCCTACTGATGCTAATTTCTACGATCAGCAACAATAGTGGCAGAAGCGTCATTCTCCTTAAAAAGATTCTTTCCTACCAAACAAAATCGGAACGAATAAATTTGATATAAAAAATAGGAAATATAAATTAATTAATGAATTGTCAAGGACATCGAAGCGTTCATTCACGCTTCGAGAATACTTCCGGTTTAATACCTACCCAACAACGATTAATAAATTAATGTTATGTCCCCGTTTTAACACGAGGATGCTTCTAAGGGGGTTAATTTTATATTAGTCATTTATCAAATTACATATTACACGCTTTCCTCTATAGTAACTTCTATGACTCGTTTCGCTCCGTAGCGATTCGAAAAGACATTTCCTCAAATAAATAAAGAAAAAATATATACAGAACGAAGTAAATTATACGTTTAATTAAAATTATGGCATTGTATATAGTCGTAGAAGGACGAGGATTGGTATTAAAATGATCTTTTAATGCTGTCGTGTTGGCGATTTTACTACTTTTGTCGCGTCACGCCATTTCGATCGACATCTATAGGATTTTAATACAAAAGCTAGTCGTAAAAGCCATTTTACGACTTTACGAAATTCGAATAAGTCTCAGAACCTTAAATTTAAACCATTTTTGTTCTAAATACGAGTGTAAGTTGTCCAGATATACATCATTTATTACACAGTGTCTATGATAAAGAAAGAAAAAAAAACTTATAAGTTACATAATATAAATAACTTTACTAAAATAGAAAAAAAGTTTCTGTGATTAAACGAATACGGAATTTATTTTTCTAAATTAATAAGGTCACGCTATTAATCTAAGCGAATAAAGGTTAACACCGGAGGCAAACATTCTCAGATTCTACGAAAACAGTGACGTCACAATATCAAAAGGTAAAAGAAAAGGAAGAAGGCGGAGAGTGAGTTCAGCATATTTAGTAGATGACACAAACTTCGCTATCGGGTCAAAATGTCTTTGGAAGTGAGCGAAGAAGGAAAGTCAAGCGAGAACCAGTCCGCCTCTAGCGTATAACATTAAACAAGATAATTTAGTTTGGCCGTGTCCTTTCCGCATTCTTTTTCAGACGGATTCGAATTTTCTCATTCGAATTCTAACAAAATATTCTTAACCCCGTAATTAAAATAAATTTAGAATTATATTTGAAAATTTTAATATAAATTTTCACAAAAAAATACGCCCATTTTCTCACTTTTACAAAGTAAAACTTCGAAGCGTTTTAAATCAGAAATTTGTTTAATTAAAATAATTAACTGTTACGGAGTTTATTTTCAGAAATACGAGTCACTCCAGGGCATTGGAATAGGAAAAGCACAATTATTATTATTTCTTTTTTCTTCGGGCAGAGAAAAGAAAGAGATCAGAACTGCGATCGATATCGAGAAAAACTTTCGACTAGGTTAGGTCGTGTGACTAAAATTGGCATGGTGTACCTAAATATAAATCAATTTTTATTTCTAATACATGCCAATTTGTCGTATTTTAATATCTAAATAAATAAACTTAACACCGAACTGTTAAGGTTAACGTCCGACTCTTGTTATCGGCTACACTTCGTTAGTAATTGCCAATCACGGTAACATTATCGCGATTAACGTTACGAAACATTAACCAAACTAGAAAGTGAATTTAAATTATACTTCTCGAATATAAATCAAAATAATTAGATTTAATTCGCGTTAATCTCGTATAAACTACTTAACAAAGATTCGTTACAGAAGATTATTTACTTCAACAGAAGAACGGATTTCCACCATTTTCAGTTTAAAAAAATTAATTAATTAATTAATTAAAAATAGTTTAGAAAATCTCCCATTTATTCTTAGTATCTAATTCTATCGATAAGGGAAGGGAGGGTAAAATAAATACAGGAAATGAAAGTAAACGAGACTTACCACGATTTCACCGAATCCATGGCCAGTTTACAAAATGTTTCCGTGATTTAATGCGGCCAATTTATTATTGATTACGCGACTTTATACATATCCTGCCATTTTAGAATATGCTTTGACCTCCTCTCACACAACTGACTATATAGCATGTGGAGTTTGTTGTGGATGACAGATATTTTACGTGTCACCAACCAAGCGGATATCGAACTTGATAAAGCGGATTGGGATACCCCCCGATGAATAGTTTGCCACCAAACTGAATTTGCCCACTTCTACTGCCTTGCAAATATTATAAAAATCAATTCGAATTGAATAAATCTTCTATTTTCTCTACTTTTTTTTTTAATTAATTAATACGTAAAATAATATTGTCGAGTCTTGTTGTAGAAAATTAATTTGTTCATTAATTAGTAAAGGCAACTGTCACGGAAAGTTAATAGCAATGAATACTCGTAGTCGCACCGCCCATCTTTGTCCTTTATTTAATTTTCTAACAGTATTTTCCATCCCCTCCGTGTGTCGCGTACGATAAATTCACGTAATTTAGCGTGGGAAAAGGCGATTTAGTAAAGAAAAACACTAGAACTGGGAGGAGGAGGAGGGGAGTCTCGTCGCGTTTAAAATAATTTCGAGAGACACTAAAATGATTACTTACTTTATATTATATCGACTGATTAAACGGTGACGAGTCGATAGGAGCGCTTTCTATTTACTCGTTAACTTAGTGGCCATGTGCTCGCCCGCTATCAACACGCACTCTGTGACGTCACGTGGCTCACTTTCCGTTATCTAAACTGCCCTCTGTCGTTCGTAAGCGATATTACGATTCCCCAAAACTCGTGAACGAATTCAATGGACACCGTAAATAAATAATTATCCAGTTTAAGGCCAACGAATTGTTTTGTAATTCGGCACCCGTCAATAAAAGGGTTTTGCCTTTTTTTTTTATTTTGTTCTGTAAGTTTATCGCTTGGCGAGTGTAGGAAATTCGAGCGATAAAAATCGCTAGAAAGGGGGTGCGCAATTTGTCCGTAAGCGTTATCAATCTTTCTTTACCTGCTGTCACAATTGAGAAATTCGATGCCGATCGGATCAACGTTGCTTTTTTTTATCAGTTCCTAAGAAGGCTTGGAATGTCTTGCACGGTGTCAATAGCACGTTTTATCAGTGACATTCGTTGAATGATGTACAATATATCGATTTTTATCGCCCCGACTTTAAATCAATGTCGCGCCCAATGGGATATTTTTAGCAAAAGTTAATTTTCTTCGTTTTAATGCTGCCGATGTAACAAATTTAAGTTTGGTTGACTGAGAATAAATTTAAAGCTAATCTCTTATCGATCGTTCCCAGTGATTACAACAGATAAATCCCAAAGTTGAATTCTGTCTCGCATATTAATCTATCATCTGCTCTTCACCCTCCGCGCTTGATCGATTTCTCTTACAAAATTTAATCAATATTAAAAGTAGTTTTTTTTAAAAGAAAAGTATACATTTAAATAAAGCTTCTTTTTAAGAAAAAGAAAGGAAAAAATAAACTAAATTTAAAAAAAAAAGAATTTTTTAACGATTCTTTAAAGCCAGAAAACGTAACGTGGATTCATTAATATTGCCACTATAAATAATAGTACAGTACATATAATAATGTAGCTTAACCGAATACTTTTCTATTATAAAGCGATCGAAGTTAGATAACTCGTTTAAACTCAACCTCCGACCAAACAAGCTAAGAAGATAGTAACAGCTGCACAACCTGCAATTCTTGTAGGAGCGAGCACCTGACTGACATGGCGACCAGGTCACTGGAAACCCGTTAACTCGGAGAATCCTTACAACACGTTTTTAAATCGCCTTAAGGCATCGGTTGTTTATCCGAAATTCAAATTACATAAACAGAATTTCAACACAGTTCCTGCACGCTTAACTTATTTCACGCTTATAAAATACTTCAGAATGAAATAATAATAATAATAATAAATCTATTTTTTCGTATTTCTAAGTTGTATTTAAAATATTTAAGTCACACGTAAATTTTTCTCTACATTTCTTTATATAATTCGAAGGAAAATCTTAATGATTTCAGAGATAAAAACGAGAGAGATGAAACGATAAAATAAAAACAAGGAAAATTAAAGAAGTGATAATAATCTGGACTATTATTTAACAGAAAAATAAATTATTATTTACGTATTTATATATCTTATTTATACGTGTTTACAATTACAAAAATTCGCCTGTAAGAGATAATCTTCGGATAATCTACTCGAAGCATCCTCTGCTCCTCCAAGGATCATTATCACAGTTTATCACGTGTATATACTAACGTATGATGTAGTATACTTATATCAAATGCTAATATGTACTAACGACACGAAAATCTTTTAATTTAAAAAAATATATATATATTTTAGTGAAGTCAGTGATGAGTATCTGAACCATTGAAGCGTGTTTAACGCGTGTTCCTTCGATAGTTTTATCGTCGAGACACGCGTTAACACGCATCAAGGGAAAACTTTACGAGAATATAACGATACACTAAACTTTATAGGAAATTTTTACAATTCAAAGAATTATTTATAAACAAAATTTATTAATATTTTACAACGAGAAGTACGATACTTGTTATTAATTAGATCGATAGGAGTATGTTTTTGACGTAACGTAAACAATACCTTAGTCTATTTATGTTGACCCTGACCTATATTAAGGCCACGAGATGAAAACAAACAAAAAAAAAACATAATAATAATTCTCTACTTCAGTAAAAGATAATTTACTTCTCGAAGTTAAGTGAATGATATTGATATTATGTTTTAATCATCATTAAAGTACGCGGGGTCATTAAAGTGATGAATTGTATTAACACGTTTTTTCCCCCCTAGTAATAATAATAAAAATAAATATTTTTTTCGGCTTCAAATCTTAGAATTATAATTTTAAATATTAAAAATAAATAAATAAAATAAAATAAAATAGCGTAAAAATCGATTGGAAGTTTTATAAAATTTTTGACAAAACCTCATTAATTAATGCCACGGTAATTAGAAACAATTTAAAGAATTTTTCGTAAAAGATTATAAAAATTCTATTATTAGTAATTTAATTTATTATTTTTAAGTAATTAACGGAACATTTTCATTTTTGTTCGTTATGAATTCAATTTTAAAAATTTCAAAACGAAATTTTAATTATAACATTTTTATTCTGAATAATTTTAAAAAGAATTACTATAAAAAGATTATTTTTTTTCGTTTTTGTAACTATTTAACAGCGCAGAAAACCATTTCGACTACTTGTAATTTCACTTAGTCCACTTCTAATGGTCGTTAAAGAAATTTTAGAACCGTGTCTTTCACTATTATTTGACTTTTTTCGATTGAATTTTTTTCCTCCATATTACATTTTTATATGAAAATTGTTCGCATGATTACTTTTGTACTACTTTTGTCAGAATGAGCTTCTATAATGATTAAACGAATCGAAAATAGGAAAGATTTTCACGATAACAAATGGCATCAATTTTTCATAATTTATGCATTATCAAGATAATTTTACCTTGATCTAATTTTAATTCCCTTAATTCTGGTTAATGCTCTTTTTTTTCCTGCTTCGTCTAACTTTGTTCTACTGAAAATTTACATTTAAAATACATTAAAAATATTGTGTACTGTTTGTTTTTTTTTTCTGTTTTGTTTTGCTCTTCTACTCCCCTCTTCCCTCCTCTTCCTCTGTCCTGTTGTTTGAAAGTTTAACAATATAAAATTTATTATCTTTTAAATTAAATTTTTCAAGGTATAAAATAAAAGATTAAACAAGATTAGTTATTTTCACAATAAGGAAAGGATTAATTAGTTGTCGAATGAGGTTAAAATCCCTCACAGTGCAAACAGAGCTAGAAAGAGGAAATACCATTCAATTAATAAGGCATTAATGCTTATTCGAGTGATTATAATGCTCTTTTTTTTTAGGAGTTCGTGTTGTGTTACAATTACACAATAAAATTCGTATTGTAGTATTCCGAATCGACTAATCCTGAATTATAATTTGTATATTACAAGTTTTCTCACGAAAAAGAAATATAAATTGTACGAATGAATAACTGCAAGAGAAGTAAACAATATTCCTAGAGCCAAGAGACCATTCGAAATATGATTTTCTGTAAAAGAGAATGTGTATTGTTCGCCCGCGGCCCATTCGCCTTCACTTACATTACTGTTTCTTAGAGATTTCACTAAGTTATATAGACTTTCACCGTTACTCTCTTTTCCCATTTCCAGCCATTTTAAGAGTTCCACCGTTAGATATATACATAATGCGCTTACCAATATATATATATATATATTTTCTTTTTTAAAGAAAAAGTAGAAAGAAATTCTGCTTTATAATGTTATTTCACATCTGAAAACTCCAATAATAATCGGCCATTTGAAAATATTAGCATAAAATTCCTATATATCGAGGGTATTCGTTTGATACAATTATCACAGATACTACTGTTTTAAAACTGAATATTTTATAATTTATAAAAGGATAAGTCTTTACATTTCCTTTATTTATATTATAAAATCACTAATTTAAATTTTAAACACGCGTGAGTACGAATACAATTGATTTATACGAGATTATTTGCTTTGTTTATGCGACTTCACATTGTAATAATTTAGTGAAAAATGCTTGTATCTCTATAGGGTAAGTGATCCTAATCCAGAATTTCAATCTGGATTTTATATTTGATTGCCTCTATTTGTCATTTAAATTGATATTCGTTATTCTTTAGCTTGATTTAAAGCAGAACAAACACGAAAGGAATACCTCTATTGAAATGCAAATATGCAAAGTCAGTTATGATTTATAGAGAGAGTGTAACTCTTATGATAAATATTGTACAAAGTTTATTTTTATTTATGAGTGGATAAAGTAAATATTTTATTGTCGAGTGATAAACGCATCAGATTATATCGAAAAAAAGGGAAAAAAATAATATATATATATATATATATATATATATATACAGAAGCATGTCCAAGCCACGGTTGAATAAAGTGATCCATAAATTGTAAGAGTTATAACTCAGAATCGATACACGCGAGTTTACGACTTGTTTCGGGATTTAAAATGCCAATAACTTAACTCTGTTGTGCGATTATTAAGTGTAATTTATGCTAAATTATTGGCATTTTAAATAACTCGGATGCTCGTACAAATCAGTGTGAATTGCTTAAATTCATCATAAATTTCAATAGTTAATTTCGTCAGGGAATAAAAATTTCGATTCGAGTCAACGAATGACTTTTGTAACGTTATTTTTAAAGGCAATTTTTTTTCTTTTTTACATTTTATAATAATCTACATACGGGTATAAGCGTAAAAATTATTAAAAAAATAATAATGTAAATAGAAAAAGGCATTTTCTTTTTATAAAAACATATACTTTAACCTTTATCTTTTTATTAAGAATTGTATCGATATCTTAATTAAGGTATGATCGAAACATTAAAGACTTGATTGCATGCTCTGTTTAATATAAACTTTGATATTAAATTGAGATTTTTTTATTTATCGTTTTATCCGAAGAAGCAACGATAAAAATCTCTGTAACTCCGATATTAAAATTATTTTGCGAACATACGAGCTGATAATATTACATGTTTTTATTTTTTAATACTTGAGATTTCAATTAAAATTTTCTTTGATGCACGCCATTTCCCTAGACACAAGCAGAAAAAGATAAATTATTCGAAGATATAATATTTCCACCAACATTTCCTA